GAGATCGCGTGTGTGATTTTCCCAATCGAGTCGGCGTAAGTAGTATACCTAATCTATACACACATATCCTTCTGCTTTTCTAAAGTTCAATCACATTCCGTGCCGCATTTGCCTTTCTCCTGTGTCACTCCAAGTCCTTCTGTGAATTCCTGCCTTATATACTTAGCCGACTAGATTAGGAAAACCGGACACGTCGCACTCTTTGTCATATGGAAACGGTTATGATATTGATGGACACTAAGATTGAAGTTAGTACACAGAGATCGTTGGTGTTGGAAAAAGGGAGAGGGGCTGGAATAAGAGAGGAGGTGGAGGGGAGAGACAGATGGGAATAGTCGAAGTAGGTATCCTGGTTATTCAATATGACTGTTGGGTATTACATGTTAAACCGTTTGGAGCTAAAAATGAACAGTTGTACAGACCTACAAATTTGAATGTTAAGATTGTAGTCAAGGTTTGCATCTCCGAAGAGAAGGTGTTCAACAGTGACTTCGTTATACCAGTCGAGGGATTGAAGCATTATCTTACGGGATTGATCAATTTGTTTTACAGTTCAGTAAGAAATGGGAAGAGTCTTCCGAGTCACTTCCGCAGTCGCAAGTAGAGTTGTCTCGAAGGTGAGCTTTAAAAAGGTCATAATTTAAAGAGCTACTGCAGTTTCGTAATTGGCAATGTATAATATTTACTCTTCCGGACCCATATTCAAGAAAACATTTAACATAAGAAGGGGTAGTGACTTGAGGTTGAATAAGAGTTTTAAATTGTTTAATGGATGCTGATGACTTTGTTTCTATTGGTAGATTGTTCCAGTAGTCTGAAGTACTTGGTGTGAAGGATGATTTTGTGATTTGCAGTCTATGGGTTCTGAAAGTTATTCCTGTTTCTAAGATTATAGTTAGAGAAGTTTGACACAATAGGTGGTAGAAGAGATTTTAGAAATGAGGGAGCATTATCATGATAAATATTATAAAACATGGATAATTTTCTAATCCTGCGTCTATCTATCAATGATTTCCATCCGAGCTCTCTGTATTTTCTTATTTTTTATTTTTGTATAAATAGGTAATCCAGTTATTATTCGACCTGCTTCATACTGCATGTTCTCTAATTTATTCGAAAATGTGATATTACAATTGTCCCATACTTCGCAGGCATATTCAAGTAGTAGTCTTATAAAAACAAGGTATATTTTTTCCAAGTTTTTTCTATTTAGGATGTATTTTAATTTCCTTAAAGTTGCAATGTACTTTGTAGTGTTTGTTAATATATGTTCAATGTGAGAGTCTTTATATATGTTTGTTTTATGTCATGTTATGTATATATTCTAACTGTAGTGTATACTAATGTACAAATTTGTAAGAAAAGAAAAAAAGAAAAACATTTTCTCACTGATTTGTGAGTTATCAAAATTGCATGGCGAGAGAAATATATATGTCTCCACCCGGATCAAGAAGACGTGGTATTTGAGAGATGAGACATGCTATACAAAGCATTAGAGGAGATATCTAACATATTATTATGGAAACAGACCTAGTCCAGCCCTTGACATAAACCTGGACATCAAAGACGCCCGGACAAGAGCTGACCGCGGTCAGTGAGAGGCTGTCATATTGTAATGTAAAACAGAAATGGCAGGATCGTCTGCAAAAAATGGAGAATATTCGAAATGATTGGGATATCAAGCAGGCTACGGAAGAGGTTTCAATTGACCATAAAATTGTGACGGTCTGGTTGTCCAATTTTGAAATGGGTCATAAAAACTTTGAAGACTTTTAGCCATATGCACGGGAGGATCAAAGCTGTTACTGGGTGTGCTCAGGTCGAAGGTCGCGGAAGCACCGTGTAGTCAGGGTAGTAAACTGGTCGTAAATCCGACCTTTTTATTAGCTTATCGGTTAGTGACACGTATAGTTTTCGTGTAGCAAATTGTTACGTTTAACGTTTGGGGGCGTGGCTTGATAACATAAAGGGTTTCAATCATTGTAAATTTGTTTTTATATCACAAAACGGAACATAAATTCTGACTAAAGACATCAACAATTATTCTCGTTACATTTGAACGAATTGTAAAGCTTCACGGCTAGGTTAGTTTGATATTAGAAGTGAAATATACGACTCCATCCAAGAAAAGAGCTGGAATTGGTGGCTTATTTGTAATAAATTGGTCTAGTGAAACAGATTATACGTTACGAAATCGGAATAGGATCTACTGAGTCCAAACGGTCACACGAAATACACCTCTGACTTGGAAATAATCGCTTTCTCACGTATTGAAGACACCAGCCCGCTAGAAACCGTCTTTGCTAGCCAAGGGTTACGATCCAGTATGATTCGGTCAACCTAATCTTCATAGATCGCGCCGGGTCGAAATCCTGGCTAGCAAAGATGACTGGAAACGAGACGGTCGCTGGATGGCAGCAGATCTAGTCAGCACAGTAAATCCTATACGTGCATGGTAACATTTTGACTAGTCCCAACTGATAGACATTTTCAAGTTATTTCGTAAATACGTAAGGCAACACAAACAAATGATGACGTCGTTCAGAAATGTTTGGAACCGTGACGCTTTGCTCAGCGATGTGCACTGAATTGTTATTTATTTCAAATAATTTCGTTCTTATCAGAAATGAATACATATTGAATAATGCATACATAACGACCTAAATACTGTGTATTGTTTTCTGCATATACTGTATAACACCCAAAATAACAATGGTTATTCCTCAAAGTAACAATCACTCAGCCTCGGATATCAATGTTAAGTTTAACCTAGTACACACAATACGAACGTTTAACCTAGCACACGATACGAAAGTTTTATTTTCCAGAAACACACAAATGATTTAATTCTAAAATATCATTCATTTTCGGTTTTACGAGGAGGCGCATTGTTAGGGTATAAACGGATCGCCTTATTTAGTGTACAAAATTAGCTCCTTGGTTCAATTTGAGAACAGACATTTCGTTCGGGCGTCTAATTTAGTTTTATATTTAATACAGTATCAAGACAGAGGGGATTCATCTGGTAAAGTGCGAGAAACAGCTGACTGCACTTAGTTACCTTCGCTCTACTAAACATAGTTGGATTGGCTTGACATTAAACATGTAACTGACAGGACGGCAGTATCCATACTCATCCCAATGATTCAAATCCTACTAAGTCTTATAAAACCTGCGTGCAAGTCAACATAGCAGTAAACAAGCACTGTTTATGTCCGTAGTTTGACAAGTACAATGTCAGAGACCGAAATATGAAATAGTTGACATGATTGGTGTGACATATGTAGTTTCATTTGTTAGGACGACTGGACTACCGGGCGTCTCGTCATAACCACGGGAAGTTTTGTTAGGACGACCGGACTACCGGGCGTCTCGTCATAACCACGGGAAGTTTTGTTAGGACGACCGGACTACCGGGCGTCTCGTCATAACCACGGGAAGTTTTGTTAGGACGACCGGACTACCGGGCGTCTCGTCATAACCACGGGAAGTTTTGTTAGGACGACCGGACTACCGGGCGTCTCGTCATAACCACGGGAAGTTTTGTTAGGACGACTGGACTACCGGGCGTCTCGTCATAACCACGGGAAGTTTTGTTAGGACGACCGGACTACCGGGCGTCACGTCATAACCACGGGAAGTTTTGTTAGGACGACCGGACTACCGGGCGTCTCGTCATAACCACGGGAAGTTTTGTTAGGACGACCGGACTACCGGGCGTCTCGTCATAACCACGGGAAGTTTTGTTAGGACGACCGGACTACCGGGCGTCTCGTCATAACCACGGGAAGTTTTGTTAGGACGACCGGACTACCGGGCGTCTCGTCATAACCACGGGAAGTTTTGTTAGGACGACCGGACTACCGGGCGTCTCGTCATAACCACGGGAAGTTTTGTTAGGACGACCAGACTACCGGGCGTCTCGTCATGACCACGGGAAGTTTTGTTGTCCGACAGTTTTGGAATTGATGTTACTTGTGAGTGAATGTTTGGCAGTAATGTCAATTAAGTCGATCCGGACATTACTGGGTGTTTTATCGACACCATTGCTAAGTTTAACTGTGATTCACGTGTATATCAGATTCATGTATATTTAAACGGCGTATTCTCGTTAGTGAATTTCAAAAGTAAAGTTGCCAGGAGCGTGACTATAACGTCCCAGATCCGGACAACGGATAACGGCTCCGGACCATTACGTACCGAACAACATACCCGAGGGACCAGGGTCACCAATGACCATTGATCATTTAGTGTCCAGTGTTTAAAAGTATGACTACATTTGAGACTATTCCATTAGATGTGGCCTGCTGATAATTCTATTACAGCAAAACTTGACTGACCTGTCCCGAGTAGTCAACTACATGTACGTGGTCAGAGGAGACGAGACCTAGCGGAGGATTCAGAACAGGTCCAGTTTGACCACAGAGACAGATAGTGACCTTATCGGAATGATAACTTGATAGGGATGGCAAATTTTATGTCAAAATATGCCACGGGATGTGAACATTTTATGTGTTTATTTGATACATAATTACCTGCCACTACACATGGCTTCCCTCACATAGACACTCGCTATCTGCAATATAAATGACGCTCCGCATTGTTTTGTGGGGTAGGGAAATAATAAGCGGACAGCTGGCATATGTAGATAATCGTCATGGGAAACGTTCCTCTTCATCACACGGTCCTTTTTCCTGGTTTTATACTGCTGAAATAAGATCAAATGTTTCACTTTTTTTTGTAGCAAATGAAAGTCCGTTTGATCAATTTCAAGAAAAAGTGATTAAAATAAGCTTGCTTGAAGAGGGGACGCATCGTCAACCTATTATGCAATGAACCGCTTCGAAAACGTTGAGAAATAACAACTACTTTCGGCTTTAAATCGAATGGCGCGGGGTTGCACGCTATCATGGCCGAAACGGGCTGTTGGTGCATGCATGTATCGTAACTCTTCGGTAAACATATAAGGAAGGACCAACACAAATAAGATCATTGAATGATTAACGACATATACACTGGTAGCTCTCTAGTCCTGGTGGGTTGTGGTAGCTCTCTAGTCCTGGAGGGTTGTGGTAGCACTCTAATCCTGGTGGGTTGTGGGAGTTCTCTAGTCCTGGTGGGTTGTGGTAGCACTCTATTCCTGGTGGGTTGTGGTAGTTCTCTAGTCCTGGGGGGTTGTGGTAGCACTCTAATCCTGGTGGGTTGTGGGAGTTCTCTAGTCCTGGTGGGTTGTGGTAGCACTCTAATCCTGGGGGGTTGTGGTAGTTCTCTAGTCCTGGTGGGTTGTTGTACCTCTCTCGTCCTGGTGGGTTGTGGTACCACTCTAGTCCTGGTGGGTTGTGGTAGTTCTCTAGCCCTGGTGGGTTGTGGTAGTTCTCTAGTCCTGGAGGGTTGTGGTAGCTCTCTAGTCCTGGTGGGTCGTGGTAGCACTCTAGTCCTGGTGGGTTGTGGAAGCTCTCTAGTCCTGGTGGGTTGTGGTAGCACTCTATTCCTGGTGGGTTGTGGTAGTTCTCTAGTCCTGGAGGGTTGTGGTAGCTCTCTAGTCCTGGTGGGTCGTGGTAGCACTCTAGTCCTGGTGGGTTGTGGTAGTTCTCTAGCCCTGGTGGGTTGTGGTAGTTCTCTAGTCCTGGCGGGTTGTGGTAGCACTCTAGTCCTGGTGGGTCGTGGGAGCACCCTAGTCCTGGTGGGGTGTGGTAGCACTCTAGTCCTGGTGGGTTGTGATAGCTCTCTAGTACTGGTGAGTTGTGGTAGTTCTCTAGTACTGGAGAGTTGTGGTAGCACTCTAGTCCTGGTGGGTTGTGATAGCTCTCTAGTACTGGTGAGTTGTGGTAGTTCTCTAGTACTGGAGAGTTGTGGTAGCACTCTAGTCCTGGTGGGTTGTGATAGCTCTCTAGTACTGGTGAGTTGTGGTAGTTCTCTAGTACTGGAGAGTTGTGGTAGCACTCTAGTCCTGGTGGGTTGTGGGAGCACTCTAGTCCTGGTGGGTTGTGGTAGCACTCTAATCCTGGTGGGTTGTGGGAGTTCTCTAGTCCTGGTGGGTTGTGGTAGCACTCTATTCCTGGTGGGTTGTGGTAGTTCTCTAGTCCTGGCGGGTTGTGGTAGCACTCTAGTCCTGGTGGGTCGTGGTAGCACTCTAGTCCTGGTGGGCTGTGGGAGCACTCTAGTCCTGGTGGGTTGTGGGAGCACTCTAGTCCTGGTGGGTTGTGGTAGCACTCTATTCCTGGTGGGTTGTGGTAGTTCTCTAGTCCTGGTGGGTTGTTGTACCTCTCTCGTCCTGGTGGGTTGTGGTACCACTCTAGTCCTGGTGGGTTGTGGTAGTTCTCTAGTCCTGGTGGGTTGTGGTAGCTCTCTAGTACTGGTGAGTTGTGGTAGTTCTCTAGTACTGGTGAGTTGTGGTAGCACTCTAGTCCTGGTGGGTTGTGGTAGCTCTCTAGTCCTGGTGGGTTGTGGTAGCACTCTAATCCTGGTGGGTTGTGGTAGTTCTCTAGTCCTGGTGGGTTGTGGTAGTTCTCTAGTCCTGGTGGGTTGTGGTAGCTCTCTAGTACTGGTGGGTTGTGGTAGTACTCTAGTCCTGGTGGGTTGTGGTAGCACTCTAGTCCTGGTGGGTTGTGGTAGCACTCTAGTCCTGGTGGGTTGTGGTAGCACTCTAGTACTGGTGGGTTGTGGTAGTTCTCTAGTCCTGGTGGGTTGTGGTAGTTCTCTAGTCCTGGTGGGTTGTGGTAGCACTCTAGTCCTGGTGGGTTGTGGTAGCACTCTAGTCCTGGTGGGTTGTGGTAGCACTCTAGTCCTGGTGGGTTGTGGTAGCACTCTAGTCTTGGTGGGTTGTGGTACCTCTCTACCTACCCGGTTAGCCGTGTCGACGTACTATCGGTATAGATGGCTTTACGAAATGAGCAACGACAGCTATGAATAATTCATAACCTGGCACGTGCTTTTTTCAAAGACCGGAAAGAGATTTTATTTGATGTGTTTAAACCAACATGAATTTTTTATCTCTAATTACCAGTGTCTTTATTCTTACAGCAATTCATTATTAACAATTTCTACCTAAACTCTCCACTTCAGTACTGGAAACTAAAACAGGCTCCGTAAGTGTTCACAGGCATGTTACGTCACACCGTTATCCAAGAACCAGCATAAACCATCAGCGGTTCGTGGACTAAATCAGGCGGTAAGTTGTTAGGTACAGTGTTATTGTCTACCGTCGACAGTTGCTACTCCGGTGTAACCATTCCAGGCTAGTATACAATAGTCCTTGGATTGTGCCTTTGTTTTTCATCCCTGTCTGTTACACTAGTAGAGTTCCCACAATGGGGTCCCGTGAACACGTTTCCCGGACCAAGGTTTAAAAGTTGATTTTAGTCAATTTGAGGATGCTGATTAAAATGAGTTTGGGTGAACCTCGTGAAAATGTGGGCTAACTCGGTCAGACGCGAAAATTCAAAGTGGCCGTCACCAGTCGTCTGGTATATAAATATCTTTGCTTCTAAATGTCCGTTTATATGATTTTTGGGTTTAAATATATGTTTGAAGGGTCAGGGAATTTATTTATTAGTATAATAACTTGATAAAAGTAAGCGCTAGAACGACAAATGGTCTGTTATGTTTTTGCTATCAAAAACAGGATATGCAAAGGAAAAGACCAGGATGAAAACCTTAATGGTTTGGATTCAAAACTTTCATCTTTAACCAGTGTAAATAAGATAAAACAACCATTGTATGAAATGTTTGGTCAATGATTTTGTTTATTTCGGGTTTATCGTCCTTGCATCAGCCAAGTCATATGATTGGTTTTGTTTGTTTTTAATTAGTTGAACGTCCTATTAAAAGCTAAGGTCTTTTAAGGACGTGCCTCTATGGGCGTTGAGTAAGCGTGCATGTGTGTATGTGTGCCGGAGACAGGGTGTGTTGGTGTACTTGCCTCCTTGTGATAGCGCGCATCTGATGCCGATTTTATAGTGCTATCTCACTGAAATACCATGCCAAAGACACCCAGCACAGCATTCCGTCTGGTCACATTATACTGACAACGGGGGAACCAGTTGTTGCCATTTTTCTAAATGCTGAACGTTAAGCAGGGAATAACAACTACCATGTTTAAGGACTCTGGTATTTCCAGAGCTGGGTACGGAACCTATGGCCTTCCTCACCTGGGCGAACGTTGTAACGTTCAACGTTAAAGCCAAAAGTGAGGTGTTGCCAAGCAAGGCACAAAGAAATAAAAGTTCGTCAGAAAGAGAAAGTAATATAATAAAAATCCCAAATATTGCAATGGGTGCAGCAGATTTATTTTGGTCGCTTTTATGTCCCCAAATAGAGGGCACAAAAGTAAATCCCCAATGGTTGATAGGAGAACGGGTGTCTAGGTAGTCGCCGCCACAAACAGCAAGTTGTTAGAAAAGAAAGAAGACAGGAAAGGAAGGAAACGAAAAAGATCTAAAGTGCTGTAATGGGAGACGCAGATCATTTTTTGTCTCTTCCATTTCGCCTTCGTAGAAGACACGGACGAAACCCCTCAATTCTGCAGGGGCTTCCACATTAGTCGCCTCTTATGGTCATACAGTGGGATTCAGCAGACCTGTTCTTTTTCCAAACTACACTGGTTGTCTGGTCAATGATACATGTAGAGTTTTAGTCACCATCTTCCTCTTTATCCAGAGTCACTACATATAACTTCGTCATCATTACTTTCATCATCCTCATCATCGTTCAAGTATATATCCACTCATGAGTCATGTTTAGCTTACTAATTTTATCATTGTAGATGTGTCGAACAGTGAATGTGGACATTTGCTGAAGAGCCTCTTGTGTCACTGGAAATGCTTCGCAACATCTTTCAAAAGATTTTAATCAGCACCCTCAAATTGACTAAAATCAACTTTCAAACCTTGGTCCGGGAAAAGTGGTCACGGGACCCCATTGTGGGTCAAAAGTTACGTCAAGCTTTAACTGACGGCTATATGGTTCAATAGTTATAACGTCAGCCGAGTTAGCGTTAACTAACTGTTACATTGTTCTAAAGTTACGTCAAGCTATGACTGATGGCTACATTGTTCAATAATTTAACGTCAGCCGTGTTAGCGTTAATTATTACACCTCTACTTTATTTACTCTATATAAAAGTAATTGGATAAATCGAATATATCCCCACTTTTGCCTGAGTGTGTTTAAGTCTTGTGTGTTAGTCTGTGAACTAAAACACACCTACACTCGGGGGTTTCCGCCGAGCCAATCAGGCGAGAGGTGGGCGGAGCTTGTTACCGAACTCGGCAGTGACGCGTGAGGTGGGCGGAGCTTGCTGCCGAACTCGTAAGCATTTGGCTCCATTGCCATCAAAAGGGTATTTGGGACGTGAAGCTATACAGCTTATGGTTTACAAATATTTTCTAGTTAAAACTATCTCTCCAGTGTGTATCGGTATAATAAAACGGTTAAAGTATGGGGTTGAGGCATATATAGCAAGTTTATGGGGTTGAGGCATATATAGCAAGTTTCTGGTGTCCCTTCGGCTTCGCCTCGGGAAATAGACCTGGTCTCGGGACACCAGAAACTTGCTATATCCCTCAACCCCATACTCTAACTGTATACTGTTACACTGTTCAATACTTGTGTGACACTGTTCCAAAATTACGTCAAGCTATAATTGACATTTTCATTGTTGTATAGCGTCAAGTTAATGATTACGAACTGTTAAACACTTCAAAAATTGTGAAATGTCGAGTTAGTATTGACTGTGAGCAACACATTTCAAATGTAACGTTCAAGACGTTTACTGACACTGTACACAAAGGTAACGTACATAGCGTTTACTGACACTGTACACAAAGGTAACGTACATAACATTTACTGACACTGTACACAAAGTTAACGTCGATAACGTTTACTGACACTGTACACAAAGTTAACGTACATAACGTTTACCGACACTGTACACAAAGTTAACCTTTACCGATTGACACTTTGTTTAACATCGACGTCATATTAGCGTTAAATGAGTGCTGAACTGTTCAATAGTTTGCGCCAACATAGCTGTTACGGCACTGTTCAACAGCTAACGTCGTTTAAGTAGTTATCGACAGTCACACTGTCCAACAGTACTGGTAATGGTCAGTTTAATGTTAACGGCTAGTGACGGTCTTAAAAGCTGTGTTATGTTTGTTTGTGTCTTGCGTCGTATCAACAGCTAGATTCAAAGGTTTGCAAAATGATCTTTGTAATGAGTCTATGGAAGGATTGCGTACTTATTTAAAACTAATTATAATCTACATTATTTTGTGTTAAGACATCAATTTTATCAAAACATGACATTTTGAACACAGTCCCGGATGAAGCTCATGCAATTGAAAACAGTCTCTCCTTCATACCGTCCTTAGCCATTTTGAACACGTCTGGTCTCTCTTTCGTAGGGTCCATTTGGAACGTCTCCCCTTCATACGGTCCTTAGACATTTGGAACACGTCTCCCCTTCATACGGTCCTTAGCCATTTGGAACACAACACAAGAACAAATCATTTTATATTTCATATTTTATTGCAACATAGTTTAATCATAATCATGGAAAAATAGAACAGCACAGCTGTCGGACAATGTCAGAGATTTGTGTCACATGATAAAATAAGGGGCAGAACTTAAGCTGCAAGGGGCAGGGCTTAATAGGAACATTACAAAAGGTCCAAACATAAACATAGCACCAATCTTTCAATCAATCAGGGCCTTGAGCACCTTGTATCTGTAGTGCAGTTTCATAGTTTACATGATATTCTACTTCACCGCAAATCATATTGAAGACTTGGAGAGTTTATCATCCTAATTTTTTTCCAATGATATCAAAAAGTTGAGTGGTAGCACTAGTCTAATTAACATGCAAAATGAAACAATGTTAGGTAACAGTCAATGGAAGTTATAAGATTTAATAAATATTTAATGAGTATTTAACTTGTTTTATTTTTAATCAAACTGCTATCAATTGAATCATATTCTTTTCTATCTCAACCTTGAATGTTTTGTACCATTCATTGTGTTTTTTTCTCTCTCAACTAAATCGTTTCATGCATACATCCACACCTGGGTAACACACACCAATACATCCCTACCTCACTTATACTGTACCATCCACATATATACAGACATTCCCACATCAGTTACACTATCAAATATAATGTTTATATTATCACAATTTACATATAATGCTTTCCATACTTGTTTAAAACAACAAGAATAAAAGCTACAACAAAACCAATGTCAGTGACAGTGTTCCTAATAAATTCAATTATCGTACATTGTAAAATTACGTTTTTAATCATTTAAAATTTCATATCTAATTTTATCTTAAATTAACTTACAAGGTATGAATTGCTAGTTTGAATTTGTTTCATGATCATTTTAATTCATTGTTAATACATTAAGCCACCAATAGTTTTCCAGTTATTCAAATCATATTTGAAGTTTTTTTGTGAGAAACATAAAATACTATTTGAAATTGGTTTTTTTAATATGAAGTGAGAAACATAAAATACTATTTGAAAACTAAATGAACCTCTATGGTGTACACATGTGATCAATCAAATAGCAAAGCATTGTGGGAGACTAGACAAACACATGGTATCACAAGAATTCAGAATGTCCAGTTAACCATTGACAGACCATCAAATCCATATTTCTATGTTATTTTCTTCCTCTGCAACCATATATATATATATATGTATATAGTATTTATAAATTTGTCCATGTCATTTTCCAATTTGATAAAATCTGATCATCTCATAAAGATTATTCCATCAGTCAAACAAAAACAGTAGGCCTGTGTTTCAGGGGAAATCCATTTTAAAATTTATGGATGAAAATATCTTAACTCGTTTTATAATTACCCTTAAAATTACAATAGTGAAATATATACTTCAGGTTGAGCTGATTTCGTGTTAAGTTTCAAAAGATTTTTTCTCAAATTTCTTCTTTTGAATGGTTGTTATACTGTCCCTTATTTCTAACCCCTCAAAACTGTGACAAAGTCCAACCCAAAACAATGGACAGTAGGGTCTACTGGGTATGTGAGGGGTGGGAGGTTAACGAGCGCTAGATGCCACACCTGTATTGACAGGTAGGGTACGACTGAGGACCAACAATTGGGGGCTGTCACATGCTCACACACATGTTATAGTAACAGATATGTAGGTAGATTGCATGTCAAAGTACCATAAAACAGCTAAAGTAATCAATGTACAGGCCAACAGTCTTTAGCATGGTCCCACTAGGCTATCTCTGTCCTTCATAAAATACAAAAATAATCTCAAGGCCAACTCACAAACATGGAATTGGTTTTGAGCTTCTTCATGGTAACATATACATTGTATATCCCACAAATGGACGGCATTGCTGATACACAAACTTACACAACGGAAACTATGGCAACATTTGCATGACGCTATGTGTAAAACGTGAAGGTCAAACTCCATTAAAATGTTCAATCTAAAATGTGTATAAAATCACCAGTGTCTTTTGATTTGTCAGTTTTGTAGAAATATACACTATGTGTCCTCTGCTGCCATTGGATGAGATAATGAGACTTTCAATGTAACAAAGTTTCTCATTGGTCTCACACATATGAAGGTGACCAATCACTCGGCTTCTGTCTTGTTGTGTCACTACCTCTGACACCGGTTTTTTGAGCACTACTTTGTAAATTGTGTTTCCTCTCAAAGTTTTCTCGAGGCGTTAAATGTTTGAAGTCTTTTTGTTTTGAGGATAAGGAGTATATGTCGGAGACTGGTCGCGGCTTCACCAGATCTCCCTCCTCTTTATCTGTGGGGGAGCCACATGTCAGATAGGATGTGGAGCCTGACGACGACTGGTAACCATGGTGACTGTTAAAGTTGTAAGCTTTAGCATCATCTGAAATTCAAAGACATCAAAATTACAATAATGAAGTTTGCAGAATTATCTGTCAAGATAAATGAAAATATTTCAGATTTAAAAGTTGATGACAATAACTTGGCTATTTTTTTTTAATAAAATGTAATCACCTTGACTGAATTGAACAAAACAATTATTTTTCCCCCCACATTTTCTTCAGAAATATGTTCCACCATGAACAACATTGATCTGTCAATTTTTTAATTATTCGTATATTTGGGTAGAGAACAAATAGATGTAATGGTTATATGATTGTACCTGGCATATTGGTACAGCTGGGCACGTCCATATCACTGCCACCACGGCCACTGTCACTTGTAGTCGTCTCCCCCGACGTGTCACTTATATCATCATGTGGCGACTTGACATTTAACTAAAAATAAAACAGTCGAGTTATGATTTTGTGAGTTATAATTAATTATAAGTGGTACTATTGTAAGTGCTGAAACACTGACTACTTTTCATCAGTTGACAATTTTCCTAGTTCATCATTTCTAACAAAAATCACATGGTCTGATGACTCAATCTAAGCCAGTAAAATAGCAGTTTGTTAGTTGGAAAACTTCACAAGGTGTTCTTTTTTTATGTTATAAATAAGTCCGAAATTAGGTTGAGATTAAAATTGTAATTGGTAAACAGTCCAACTATTGTTCCTGGGCAGCCAGGAGTGACGAGGCAATTCCTACACTGCACACCCTATTGGCTAACTGCCTATTACTCATCAGGACTGGTCAGCTGGTCACTCTGGCTTTGACCCTAGGTTGGACACAGGTCAACCGATGAAAGGGATGTCCATGATTTACTGGAGGATTTCTGACCAGTGACAATGGTGTAGGTTATGGGGTTGGTGACAGCCTGACTCTACAGGGAGGGTTTGTGTGTACATATCACAGCCTGTCCCTGGCTTAATGACTAACACAGTTAGAACAAATTCTAACAAATAACATAGTTTTGAATTAGGATATCAAATTTTACAATATTGAAACCGGATTCTTGACATTTCCGCCTTTGGCATATGCTATGTATCGATGGGTAGCATTTTTTTGTTTGAGAAAGCATCACAGGTAATGGACTTGAAAATGACTTTGTTCTCGGCAAGTAACCAACTCAAACTGTGACAGCTATTAACTGCTATTTTTGAGTTTTGTTCAAATGTCATCCCTAAAACTATTGGACATCTTTTGATATTTATTTTTAGAAATTGTTTTTAAAATCAGCAGTGTATGAAATAAGTTCTTTTCTGGAGACAGCCAGCTAGAACTAGGGACTTCATCTTTTAAACCAGTTTGACCAAATGATTCTAAATATTTATTACTTTTTCCCCCATTAAAACCAAATTCTATCCAATTTGGTGTTAAGGCTAAACACTTGTCAAAGCTCTTGCCCTTGCTGTTGTCCTAAGATATTGTACAGTGTTTTCAATGTATGAATTTCGCCTTGCCCAGTGTCTAGATGGTTGATTTTGTGTAACCTTTGAAGAATTTTGTACTTGCCGTTTCAAGAGATTGTCCCATGTTTTCAATGTGTATCTTTTTAAGATTTTTGTCCTTGCCCAATGTCTAGATAGTGGTAGTTGATAGTGTGTAGTGTTTTCAATGTGTACCTTTTTAAGATTTTTGTCCTTGCTGGTGTCCTGGTTCTGTATTAGAAGCTGATGAAGATGTAGGGTCTGAATGGTCTGGGGGTCGTAGGTCACTGAAGGCTGGAATGTCTTCATCTTCTCTGCATGCTGTCAGGAAAGATAAAAAGTTTTTGTAAACTCAAAAATGGAAATTATAATCAACAATTCAGCACTAAAACAATCACTCAGCACTACATCAACGTTTTTCATCCTAATCGCAATAACCGTTCATCAGCAACCCTGAATCACAACAAACTTTGCGTTCAACACCAAAGCAACCATTACGAACTAATCAACCTTTTAGCTCCGATTTTGAACTGGCAATGAAAATGACAGAATGTTTCATGAACAAAATCCATCGAGTTAAGTTATATAAAAATGTAGGGAGAATTATGTAACACTTTATGGCCATGTTTAAATGTTTAATCACGCTGACCACACAGAAGTCCATCTCCTGCTAGTTCAAACACTCTCCAGCCATTACTCTACCATTTTAATTGACACCCAAGAAATTCTGTGGTGGATCGTGTTTGGTATTTGGGTGGCTAAACTAACATCCTCGGCCATTTAACAAAGTCTGAGTAAATGTTGACTAAGTAATTATCATGCTAAATATCGCCTTGCTCTGTACAGAGGGTTTAAATGTATTTAATTTTTAGAATTTTAATATTTTCAGCAAACAGCTTCAGGAAATGACTTTGTTATTTTGGTCTTTTAAATCTGAATGTTCTACAGTGAAATCAGGTGAAATGGGAAGCTCATTTAAACGAAACAGCAGTGTAATGCAACATTTATAAGTATGTAATAATCCGAAATAGAGTACAAGTCAAATGTATTAACTACGTACAATACAATGTGAGTGTCGTGATGTTGACACACGCCACAACAACCAACAAACATGTGGACCAAATAGCAACACAATTTCACCATGTCTGTGAAAAAAGCTCTCCTAGAGTACCATTTATATTATTATTTAATAACTATTCAATTACACTATTAGACTTTTTTTTAGTAATATTAAAACCCTATTTTGAAGAATTCTGTCAGAATTGAAACATATTTCAATGTGACTATAAGAGGAGAGTATATAAACTAGAGAGAAGAGTGTTTTCCTGTTGACAAATGACCAGTTTATGATATTTAAGATAGTTCTGACAGGCACTCCCTGAAGGCTATGGGTATTCCCTGGAGCATGGGATTGACTCGGGGTTATTTGTAAAATTACTGGTAAGATAACACCACTAAGGTTAGATTGTTATCTTAAACACTCAAGTCATTAAAACATTCAAATTTCGTACAGGATATTTCCTTCTATAATCTTTCCCTAAATTATCAGGTTTTAGTTAATGACTCACCAGGTGTAACACTTTAGCCTGGTATCTAGAATGATACTGTACTATTTTGAAAATATATGCCATGCACTTCTTGTTAACTGACATACCAGTAGTCTTTTTGAAACAATATTCTACGATCCCATTTTTTACTTACAATGACACTCATGGTTGTGACAAGCGTCACTAAAAGATATTGGACATTTTTTACTCGTCACACGAGCTAACCACAACATCCTATACCCTGTATAGCTTGACTGTGAACACCAACAATAGCTGTTACACATGCGTCATGCGATGTCAAAGTTCAAATTCTCTCCTTTTTATTTTTCTATTGTTGTGTTTTTTGACGTTTTACAGATGTTCCTCTGAATCATTTCAAATCCTACGAAAAATTTAGTGATTTATTTTTTATTTTTTAAGTTTTTCTTACACGATCAGCGAAGGTTAACTTTTAGGGTGAATGAAGGAAAAAGAATGTCCTTTCAAAATCTTAACACTTGACCTTCAATAGAATTCAAAAGTTGCACCAACATGATTTTATCTAGGTTTATAAACAGTTTTTGTATGTTTATCTTTCGTGTGTCGACCACACACACAAGTATTCATTATTGTTTACGATCATTCACCCTACGTTGATTTAAGAAAATATATCAATTTATGTCTGCGCAGTTGATTTTGACAAGCATTGATAGAAATTAATTAGCCGGAAGCATTCATTGTACTTTAGGTGTAAGAATTTCATTATGTTTGGGTATTTAAGGTTGATATGTGCGTTATATTTACATGGAGTAATACAATAGTGTGGCCTGTCAGAAATTGCATGTGTTTGGCCCTTAACGCCTAGTCGGGTCGAAGTGCACCCCAAGGGTACAACACCCGACACGTTAAAACAAGGGGCAGGTTAGCTAGGCCAGGTATCACTAAAATCTCCTGTCCGCCTGATCAAATCTTGTCAACGAAGCAGGTACCTGGGGTTATAAATGACCAGAGGTAAATAAGGCATACCTGTTCTTACACCTGCCCGTGTACATGTCACACCTTCAACTGTCAAACTCACACAAACATTCACACCTTCATTCACTTTAACAGATGTAAAACATATATTGAAAAGTGGTAATTGATTTTTCACATCAATCAAGTTTAAGTGTACTTTACATAAGATATTAAAACTGTACACAAACCTCGATCTGAACATGCTAGCAACATAACTAAGAATAACGTAGAAAATTGAAGTAATTCCATAACCATACATTTTTTTTCACATTTTTTGGGGGATTACGACTAATCAAAATATAGAAGCCAATGAATTATTTTTGTACTTATTTAGGACTCTTTATCATATTCAGATTGCTTGCTTTGTGCAGAAGAAATAAAATGAAATTAACTGTTTTCCGAAAGCTTACCTCATGTTTGCCGACGTTGTATGCTGACACACTTGAAATATCAAACACATTGTCCAAATCCTCATCTAAAGAGAAACTAACTTCTTTCTTCTTTTTCTGTTTATATAAATCCCCATTGCATCCCGAAAAGTCTTGTTTTTCCCCGTAGCACACCTTCCCGTTCTCAAGATACCTGGAATTCTCATTTTTGATATCATTGCTTAGTTTCCGTGCCAGTTCTTGCCGTTGATCTTTACGTCGTAAAAACAGAATGAGAGCTATAATAACGGCTGATAAGATAACAGTAAGTACAACAACCACAGCCGAAATAATAATGTATTTGTTGCCTGTGTTTTCTGCCATGTGAGCAAGAGATGTTGCATTTGTGTACACAAGAATCACGTGTAGTGAATGAGTGGTCACCCGTCGCGGGCTCCCATTGTCCTCGGCAGAAAGCATTAGACGGAAACTTGTATCCTCGGACACCATGTGAGTGTTCAGAAGGTAAAGGTCCCCAGTGTAGGGGTCAATCGAAAACAGTTGAAGGTCGTTTCCATGGCGAATACTATACACAATAGCCTTGATCTGATCCGTGTCTCTGTCAGCTGCACTAATTTTTGTGATCCAAGATGGCGTCTCTGCCAGGTATCCAATGGAAACAGTATCATTACTATCATTGGGGAAAACAAAGACAGGACTATTGTCATTATCGTCAGTAATGTGCACAGTCACAGAAATGTTTGTTTCTAGAGGAGTGTCGCCTTGATCTCGAGCACGAACATGAAAGGTATACACAGATTGGACTTCTCTGTCCAAGCTTTCCTTGGCACGAACAACTCCATCCTGATACACAATGAATGGAAGATTTCTGGACACATTACCTAACAAGGAGTAGACAACTCTGCCATTGTTACCTTCATCAGAGTCAACAGCCTTCAATTCTCCAACCTTTGTGAGAGGCTCACGGTTTTCCTGAATCATCATTTCGACCCCACTGGAATTGAATGACGGAGCATTGTCATTGATATCTGTGATGGTTAGGACAACAGTCGCTGTTCCTGTCTGCTGAGGGTTGCCACCATCAACTGCCAGCACTCGAAACGTTATTCTTGGATTGACCTCGCGGTCAAATTTCATATTTGCTGTTATGACCCCAGTGTGAGAATTGATGGCAAATTTAGAAACACTGTCGTCATGAAGGTAATAGTTGACTTGAGCATTTCGACCGATGTCATCGTCAGAGGCAGAGACTTGTGTAACCACACCTCCTGGATTAGAGTTTTCCGTGAGAGTTGCAGGGTAGACACCTTTTGAAAACCTTGGGATTCTGTCATTTTCATCTGTGACGTTAACTGTAAAGTTTACCACAGAGCTAAGAGGAGGAGACCCCTTGTCTTCACAAAGAACAGTAACATAGTAACGCTGAACAATCTCTCGGTCAAGTCGATTATTCGTCATGACGATAAAGCCTTTCCCGGCCACAGGTTGTAGAGTGAAGTTTGTATCATTGATGGTACAGGACACATTCCCGTTTAATCCTGAATCAGAATCATCAACCCGGACATGAACAAGGGGTGTAGCGTTCTTGGCAGATTCAGAGATGTTCATGACCCCGTTGTCGCTGGTGATGATGTAGCTAAGGAGGAGTTCTGGTGGGTTGTTGCCCCCGTCGACCACTGTGACAGTCACCAGTTGTTGGGTGACTTTAGCTTGGTCCCCCTGGTCACTTGCATCTACGTAAAACTGGAACACTGTACCAGGGTTGGCTGAGAGAGTTTTAGACAGGCTTATTTCACCCGTTTGCTGGCTGATAGTAAACACCTGTTGAATCTGTTCAAGGCCTTGCTGATGAGGACTGAAACGATAAGTGATCTGTCCATTTACACCCATGTCTTTATCTGTAGCCAATACCTGTAACACTATCGTACCTGCTGCAGTCTTTTCTTTGACAGACATGCTGTACTCCGATTCTAAAAAATTTGGATTATTGTCATTCTCATCTAGGACCTCAACAGAAATGCTCAGTGTTCCCGAGTTAGGTGGGTCCCCTCCATCCTTTGCCACTACATGAAACTGATAACGATTTTGCTCTTCACGATCCAACTCTTTTTTCAGTATCACTTGTAAACTGAGACTCTGATCCTGGTTCTTTGTTATTTCAAGGCCAAAAATATCAGACTGTTGTACAATTTCATAACTCTGAATTGAAAAATTTCCAATGTCTTTATCCTCAGCGGGAGCAATGGTGTACTTTGTGTCTTGATCATTCTCCGATACCTGAAGATTGAGGAAGCTGGCGGGGAACAAAGGAACATGGTCATTTTTGTCCTGTATTGTTACTTGTGCAGTAAGGATGGTGATGTAAGAGTTAGAAGCTGTCCTTACAGCCACATCAAAAGTGAACTGGCAGTTGAGCAAATATCCACAGAGTGCTTCCCTGTCTAAGACTTTTTCCAGGTAAACATTTCCAGACTGTTCTACAACGGATATGCTTTGGGAGGAAGTGCCACTGTCCAGCAGTCGAAAGGTCAACGAGTTGAATTCTGCGGGTACTACATCAGTTTTCAGAACTTCTGCATCAGACATTTTACCAATTAATGTACCGACCGGTTGTTCCTCCAGTGTAATGAATTCAATGGCTGGTAGTTCATCTTGGCCATGACAAGGGGAGACAATCCAGAGGATGAGACACACAAGGACGTGTAAGGAAGCCGCCATCATGATGATAGTCCTGAACAGCTATCTTTCCATTCTCTTAACCTGGAAAATATCAAAGGGAAATTCCAACTGAGATTCGATTCAAACACAAGACAAATCAATATCAGCTGTGTAACAAGCATTATCTAATTGACCTGTGTGATGTTTTAAGATCAAGTTCCACTAACCATGGGATCATAGGAAATGGATTAATTAATTACTGACACACCTTTCATTGAAACAGCATTATAACACAGGATTGACACACAGTATGTGCAAGTCTGTTGAAAACATTGAGTTTTAATGTAATCTTTCTTGATGACATTCAGCATTCAAAATAACTTCGAATCACAAATAAATTTCCAGATTCAATTGAAAGTAGCATAGTATTGTGTATAGATTCTTTTTATATCAAATATAAAATATTCATCACATCATAAAACATGACTTCATAAAATAAAGACTATTTTAGGAAAATCATGGACACCATAAACATTGAAATTGCTCCCGCATATATTTGTTGATCAAGTCATCAGTGAATTGAATATCATACCTGGTAAATGGGAACACATTTCAGCTAGATATTATGTAGTAGAACAAATTTAAAACAAACCCCAAAGGACACCACTAATGAGTTCACTAATGATGTCATCACCAGGCAATTCCTAGGTAGTGGATACCAAAAAATGTTCTAAGCGTGAATCATAACAAATGCAAACAATAGCAATTTTATTTTAAGTATGTATCCACCATCTATTTACTTCCTTATGTTTCATTTAACAACAGAGAGAGACATTATACAGTGACAATATTTTCAATCTACAATATTTCTTAAATTTCAAAATGCAGCATACTGGAGTTCACCAGATATCACCAACATGAAATTGTTTCAATTTATTTACTTCATTACAGAAAGGTGGAGTAAATATTCACTAAGTTTTATAATGGACATTACAACAGAAAAAGAAATTTTATTTAACAAAACAGTACATTTACCTGAATGTACATAAATCATATTTATTAAATTAATTTCTTTATAATTACAACATTATTCATTTAATGATAATAAAACATGGACAAATTTGCTATAAAAATGTCTAGAAAATTTCCATAAAAAACCCCATTAGTCTCCGGACCTTCTGTGTTTCCTTCATTATACTTACTTGAAAATTGATTAGTAACTAGAGAAATAATTCCCTTATCCATTCCTGAATTATTTAAGATTCCTGATGACCAAGTCATGCTGACCACTGTTGAGTTCATTCACGTACACACAGGGGATTGACCATTGTCTTACTGAGGGACCTGCACACTGACCACCCAATGATTATATGCACCTGTATTTACCTGTATATATTAATTAGAGTACCTGGTGTGTACTACTGCCCTGTATAAGTGAGCAGTGTATATCTGTGTAGTACTAGACCTTTACATTAATTAATACGTCCTGCCAGCAAAGTTTACTACACCATACAAATGTCATTTACCTGTAAGGCCGGCCAGGTACTAGTTAATGCTGCAGTGTACTGGACACTCACTGGTCAGTCATATAGATGTCAACTGTCCATCCCCTGTGGACTGACCACTCAGTATTGTAAGACAGGTGACACAAACAGGCTAAGAACATTGTAAGTAGCCAGTGTGTCAGTCTCTGTTTGACAAACTCTTCGCTTTTCTCCGTAAATTAATTCCCCATGGCAGTTGACATATTACATGATATTTGTGTAGTACATGCATGTTGTAATTGATTCCTCTAATTATATCTTGTAAATATACTTGTACTGTCCTCGGGATAGACAATATTGCATCATCAGTTCTATATACAGCAGTCCGATCGTGATTAATTCAATCTTATTTTATGATTCCAAAGCAATAATAATTAAAGCAAAAATTAAAGCAAAATTGAATTGTTTTTTATATGAAAAAAAATGTTATTAATATTTTCATTATCTATAGATGATTTTGAGAGTGCCAAATATCAATTATGGTAAAACAGACTTACATACATATTATGTTTTAACGCAATACACTTTGACAGTGTTTGTTGATCAAGTCATTGAATGTCCAGTATAAATTGAATATTTCCCCAATCTTATTTTTTCATCTTTACCAAAAACATCATATCCGATACTGGACATTATAATTAATTCCTGGTTTCAGTCAACTTTGATCAATGATCTAAAAGAATTGAAATAACAGCTACTTAAAACGAACAATATTATTAGAAATATTTACAGGGTTAATATGGCAGTAATTTTCAGCAATAACAAACCCTTAATTTTACACCATTAAAATTAAAAGAATAAATGACACCTTTTATCTTTTCAAAAGTGAATTTTTATACCTCACTTGTGAAAAGATGTAAAAATGTTGAATTATTTTTTCCAGCATTAAAACTTATACTTGCTTTCTATAAGATCAGTGCCTGGACAGTATAAACACAGATTGGCACTTAATATTTTTGCATATTGTTTGTGAAAAGTATGCAATAGTTTATAACAAGTTTCATATCCTGCTATTGATACAGTCCATATGATTTCATTTAATGTGTTTATTTTTATCATAACTAATTAAACATTTTCAACCACAAATATTAGAACAACAGTTATCAACTTTGTATTGAAGAAAAGAATGAAATACGTGTTATAACCCACAATCTGCAGGAATGTTAACATATCTATGGAATATAAGCTGAAAACATTTCTGTGCTCAAACAAAATTAACCTATTATCTGCAGAAAGACAATTTGACCCATTATGAGTTGTCTTGGAGTGACCTGTTTTTAGCATACCAACTTAAAGTTTTTTTTAACTAATTAAAACATTGAACAAATAGTTATTCAAAGTGAACCTGAAAAGTTGTGTAAAGTAATTTAATTAGTAAACTGACCTTATACTAAATACAACCATGGAATCTATAATTCCATGATACAAAGTATGTGTTTTAGTAGAGGTCGCCCACACTGTCAGAAATAATGCACCTCTGATGCACTGACATCTGTCATCCCCTCCTACACAACACATAAATACCAGTAATTGACAATCCATCACTGGTAACAGATTCAATCAACAGGTAAAAAAAGGTCTGTTGGTTTGTATGTATACAGAAAGCATATGTGTGTAACAAGACAGGTACACATCATACATAGGGCACCTAGCAGACCTTTAAAATTTGTGTTTGTTTGTTTGGGTTTAATGGCCCATCCACGGCTGTGGTCATTTAGGGCCATGGTGATTTATTTATTTATTTTTTTAAAACAAACATGTGAGTAGCGTAGATAAAATTAGATTGGGTTTAACGGCCCATCCACGGCTGTGGTCATTTAGGGCCATGGTGATTTTTTTTTTTTTTTTTTTTTAAAAACAAACATATGTGAGTAGCATAGATAAAAATTAGATAAAAAGGTTCATTTTAAAAGCATTCACATTGTATGTGTAAATAAAACTTGTGTAGCTATAAGTAACTAACACATCTTACTACCAAACCCTTAAAACTTGTGTAGCTAAGTAACTAACACATCTTACTTACCGAACACTTAAAATTTGTGTAACTTGTAATTTGCAAATGTAACCTTAATTTGTGTAACTTGTTAAGTTCTATTTCCTTACTGAACACTTAAATCATGCGTAACTTAATTGTAACTATTTAAGTCACACATCATACATATACCATAGGGCACCTGTTATCTTACAAACCTAGCCAACATTTAACACTCAAGTAACCTAATTGTAAATTACTTGTATAACTTTAAAGTCACACATCCATAGGGCACTGGTTATGTTAAGTTCCAGACCTAATTATATATAAAACACCTGTGTAAATTGTAACATATAACCAACTGGTATGTTCCAATTCTCACCTTGAAATACAGAAATGATAACACCATCCATGGATATCCTATAGCATGACAAAAGTCATTAAAACATGCTGTCAGCCGATATTTACACCATTACAATCCATTTCTGGAATATTTTTCACATTCCATCTTTCACGAACACAATTCAGTGGTTCGACCACATCATCATGATAACACTCTTTACATATGTCACATATGTTTATCACCAAAGTGGATGGTTTCCTTGGACAATAACTGATCAGAGATCTGGTTTATACAGGTTCCACTGATCATCAATCAGCTATATGTATCAACCAAGACTGTCATTTTTTTGCTGCTAACACAGTGAGCGTCCAGTTTAAAACTAGCCAGTACTGTCCACTTGTTCATAGTAGTCAGTCAATGTTTACTTCACACTTGACAGTTAGAAGGCAGTTAGTGGACAAATATGTGACTGACCACTTGAAATGACCATGAATGTCCCGAGGATTACGGATTGAGAACAAATATTTAGCCAGCAGATTGTCTCCCCTTTGTTGCATCTGGTATATACAAACAAGCCATAACGGTAAGGACCCTCTCCCCCTCAAACTGGATAAAATTTCACAGGTGAATGTCTACACAAACTTCTCATTTTCCATTTATAAAACTAAGTACCCACTCAGAAATGTTCCCAAGATTATTTACAAACAAAGGATTATCAACACAAATACTGAATAATAAGCTATATGTATATATCTGGTAGCCACTGGTATTCTATCACCCAGCTACCATTTACTATATGAGGAAGGCTTGTGGTTACCTATAAATACAAATTTACATAGACAGGTCATATTACTTGCAAATATGTATCATACACATATTGATATGCGTGTTATACAATTTCACTTGCACTGCTTATTTTTTTTTTCAATTTAGCGTGTACACACCAGTAGAAATGGTTTATAGATAACAAAAATGTGTATTTGAGACGAGGTTTGATATTCTATAATAAATTAATACAATTGATATCTACATTATTAACAGCTTGACTGGTTAAACATTTTAAGGCTACATAAATCAATTAATATCAGTCTCAAAAGTCTGGCTGGGACATAAATCTTGTTTGTTATAATGGTTTGACTTCAAACAACACGGTTCACTGACATTGGGAAAGGTCGCCAGATGTCATCGTGGGTCTATCACGATATTGACACATTACACAAATGTCACATCATCAACTATCCAT